CCCCCCCCAACCCCCCTTCTTTAATTCTTTTTTAACCCGGGACGTTCAGATGCTTCTCCTCCACCCCGTTGCCCTGAGCTGAGTTTCCCTTCCTGCTTCAAACTTTTATCCCCGGGCTTTAAGAAACAGATGTAAAGTATTAGCGATACTCGTGCAAGTTCCCACCTCTCAGGCTTCGTCTCCAAGCGGTTATGAAAGGCGATATGACATTTTAAAGAGCACCGCGTTACCAACATGCAAATAACCTCGTGGGAGCTGTATCTTATTGCCTATCCTCGAGGCAAAGCAATAAAAGAACCCCAAGTTTTACTCGGTGGTGATTGAAGCCTTTTGCAGGGAATCACCTTGCTGGCTCTCCAGCCACTGCTGCCTCGTTTTGCTTTCAAAGGTCTTCCTAAAAAGAAGCAACGTTAAGCACAGATCTGCCCGTCCCTTCGGTATTTTTGCCCCTGCGGCTCTTGTATTTCTTTCTATCGGTGCATATATATGTATGCGTGCTTGTGGAGATCCCGTAGGCACATGTTTGTGTCGGTGCATACATATATATACAGACAGACAGACGGAGGGAGAGGGGAGGGAGGGAGAGGGGGAGAGAAAGAGAGGGATAAAAGCAAGGAAAACATTTAAGGAGGAGGAAAAAAAGGTCCTAACCGTGAGGTCTCATCCATGGGAACATGAGACTGGGAGACGAATTTTGATTTAAATGCCCTTGTCCCTCGCTAGAGTTACTGTTGGAAGACGATTTACAGTCAGGATATTGTACAACAGTCGTCTCTTGCTGAGCACCATAAAGCGATTGCCTGGGCAGAGCTTCATATCCATAGAATTTAGAAGCGTCTCCGTGACACGCCAAGGCGCACGGGTTTTGCTGGTATCCAGAGTTGGAGATGCTGGAGGTTCCGTGGTGAAAAAACTCTTGGACGTGATGTGATGGGTGCTGGAAGGTGGGAGCTGTGGTGCCCGGACCGTAAACGAGAGCATGGCTCCTGCTAACACTTTGTGGAAATCTGCAGTCGTAGTAAGTTGGTTCCAGCGATTCGCCGCCTTTGTACTTGGAAAAGAGAGGATTTACAAAGTAGGAACTCATGACCCTCGCATGCAAAAAAAAAAAA